CAGACGACGAGCCGAGCGTCTCGACAGACGAGCCGAGCGTCTCGACAGACGAGTCGAGCCGAGCGTCTCGACAGACGAGTCGAGCCGAGCGTCTCGACAGACGAGCCGAGCGTCTCGACAGACGAGCCGAGCGTCTCGACAGACGAGCCGAGCGTCTCGACAGACGAGCCGAGCGTCTCGACAGACGAGCCGAGCCGAGCGTCTCGACAGACGACCCGAGCCGAGCGTCTCGACAGACGAGCCGAGCGTCTCGACAGACGAGCCGAGCGTCTCGGCAGACGAGCCGACCCGAGCGTCTCGACAGACGAGCCGAGCGTCTCGACAGACGAGACGAGCCGAGCGTCTCGACAGACGAGACGAGCCGAGCGTCTCGACAGACGAGGAGCCGAGCGTCTCGACAGACGAGCCGAGCCCAGCGTCTCGACAGACGAGCCGAGCGTCTCGACAGACGAGGCTGGCGGGCCTCGTCCGCCGTGACACCCACCCTAATGTATGGGAGCAACATCAAATCACATGTTTGAACGTTTGAAACCACGAAAAGCTTGCAAACGCGCGGCTAATGCGAGCCGACATACCTTTATCAGGAGTATGAAAAATAACCTCTTGCTCATATCTGAAGGAATTAAAAAATTAAAGACCAATATATATTCGGGCGTGGCCCTTCCTCAGTGGTACAGTGTTACAATGGAACAAGAGAGACGTACGTGACACACATGAGACTAAATACATTATTTTGAATAAAATAACTCACAGATATTTAGCATGCGCTTCCAAAATAGGTGTCGATCTAGATTTACTTGGCAGGAAAATGAATCGTTGCATGAAACATAAATGAATACAGTTCGATATGATAGGGATACGCTTGGTCTAGACCTTGTTATACATATTGCCAACATTTACACATATTACGTCGCAAGCTTCCACAAATCAGCGTCTTGTTCACAGTACATATGAGTATGATACCTATTCAACATACTACCACACTATAACATTGATCGTATAACATTGCTAAGTAGTACATTCGACATCAGTCTAACAGACATTAGACAGCGGTCCCTGTTAGGCTTGTGCTAGTTCGTATGTATGAGTGAGTGACTGTGTGTGTGCATGTAGGTGTGAGTAGGTGTTTGTGTTTGTGAGCAGCTGTGTTTGTGTGTGTGTGGGGGGGTGGGTGTGTGTGTGTGTTTGTGTGTGCAGTGTATATGTAAACGATGATTGTGATGATTGAAAGATGAATGAATGGATAAAAGAAAGAATGAATAATAGAAGGGTGAAATACTGTGAAAACGGTTTGTGAGTGATGGTGTCAAATGATGTGATCTAGTCTAAATGTAAGTCCTGCCTGTCGTGATCTAATGACGTCTATAGCTCTGAGTATAGTACTGGCTTGATGAGCGTCCAAGATGATGACATAGTGTTAAGTGTGGGGCGATGATTGCGAATTTCGATGGACTCGGCGATCTTCAGCTCCGCTACGTCTTTGCAGATTTGAAGAATTGAAATGGAGAGGGCATCGTGGCTAGGTTCTACGCTACAGTGACAAGTCATGAAGTGTTCTCCAAAAGGGGTGTTTCTTGTGTGGTTTTTGGCGTCACGTAGATGCTCGTTAAAACGGAGCCTAACACTCCTTTTACTTTCACCTATGTACGTGGCTTTTTGCTTGCAGAGGTTGCAGACGATCTGATAGACTACGTTTTTAACGTGGCATCTACCTTTGAGTCCAGCCAGACAGCAGTGACATTTTTTGTTCCCTGCTGGACACGGTGGCTTTTCTAGAGCTGAGTTAGTGAGTTTCTGAGAGAGAGTGGGGCCGCTTTGCCATGCTATACGCATGGACAGCTTTGACTTTTTCACGATGGATTCAATTTTTCTAGAGAGGTTGTCATCTATGAAGGGAAGAGTGACGTACGTGATGTCACAAGGGCTTTTAGATAGTTTTTGTGCCGGGCTCATCTTACCATTGTCACGCGTTTGGGCTTTGCTGTTAGTTTTTACTGAGAATTTTGTTTTTCTGATGAGCTTAGTGGGGTAGCCGTTAGACATGAACAGCGATTCAATTCTGTTCATGCCGCGTTCCTGGGCTGGTGTCGAACTTCCAAGACGCTTAGCTCTTAGAAGTTGGGAGTAGAGTACCGATCTTTTGGTTTGGAAGGGATGGGCTGATGTGAATGGAAGGATGATGGGAGAGGCCGTGGGTTTTATGTAGAGTTCAGTTGTCAAAGAGCTATTTTTTTCTAGCGTTATCATGGTGTCTAGGAAGGGAATTTGTTTTTTGTCAGATCGGTCGCTGCGTTCAATAGAAAACTTAAGCGAGGGATGGAAGTTGTTGAGGTGATCGAGGAAGGCGTCTAGAGCATCAGGCCCGTGCGTCCATACTCCGAAAATGTCATCAATATACCTTACATAAAGGGCTGGTTGTAAATTGGCAGAGGAGAGGATCATGCTTTCTACCGCGTCCATGAAGATAATGGCCAAGGGGGGAGCCACGCGGCTGCCCATGGCGATCCCATGGGTTTGTTTGAAGTAACGTTGTCCGAATCTCAGGTAGTTGTTGGTCAAGCAGTGCTTTAGGAGGTTTTCTATGATGGGTAGGCTAAGGTCTAAAAGGTCTATCTTTTCTTTGTGTTTTGAGATTAGCTTCATCGTGAAATCTATCGCTTCGCTTATGGGAATGTTTCCGTAGAGGTTCGCTACGTCAACTGTGAATAGAATCGAACCGGCTGGCACCTGCTTAGGGAAGGATTCATTTAACCAGCTATTAGTGGCAGGCTCCTGGCTACCCCATATTAGTGGCAGGGGGGGGGGGCTGTTTACGACCCCCCCCCTTGATATCTCGAGATCTAACCGGCCGATTTTCAAAATTCAAACGGCATTCGATTTGGCTCAACGAGATCTACATTTCTAAAAAAAAAATAAAATTAAAAAATGTCAATAGGGGGTAGAGGGGGGTAAAAACGGGCAAATTGCAGATACATTTTAGACTGTTTATCACGGCCAGGTTTCTGAACCAATCTTAACGCAACTTTTGCCGATCGATAAAGAATGAACCAGGAATTCACATGGATCCTAAAAATATGCATTTTCAAAAATCATAGGCGGATACAGATCATTGAGATTGGGGGTACACAAAAAGTATAGAAAATTAGGTTTTTGTTGGTACTGTTTCTAAAAAGGGTGGCAATGGTCTTGTTATGTTACAATTTTCTTATGAGAGAACGACTAAAATTGTATTGGTCATGCATAGGCGGTGTCAGGGCACCTATGTTGGGAGGTAAAAAATAACCCCCCTTTTTGGACGCCTGGATCCGCCTATTATAGCAAAAACGTGTCAAAAGAGGATGCACAATAACTTTGTATATGTTATCACATGATACCTTTCATTCACTGTTCGTAAAACTGGTGCAGCATCGTGATCTTCGCCCAAATGACTCGCTTCACGAATAGGACCCCCAATTCCCAGTGCTCTGGAGCCGCCCCTGGTAAAGTTATGAACTTGAAATTTTCAGGAAATGTGCCCAATTTAGTTTTAGGAAAAGTCGGAAAATTTCAGCATCGTAGCTTCAGCGGTTTCGGAGATATTCCCGAAAAACCTGAGGGGTGGATAAAAACAACCCCCCCCCTGCCACTAATAGGGTTAAGCGGTTGAGAAATTCGTAGGTGTTTTTCAAATGAGCTGGGACGAATATCAGAAGCTGAGTGATGAGCCGTTCCAAAAACCATGTCAGTTTATCCAAGGGGTCACCACAGGCTGAAACTATAGGTCTGAGGGGCATACCGGGCTTGTGGCTCTTTGGTAAACCGTATAACTCAGCAGTCCTAGAAGAGGAGGGCTTTATCGCGTTGACGACTTTGTCACTGACTTTACCTGTTAGGTTTGTCGAAATGATTCTTTTTGTCTCAGCTTCAAGTCGGGGCGTGGGATTCTTGGGAATCTGCTCATACTGGGAAGTGATGGTTTGTGCTTTTTGAACATAAGTTTCCTTACGCATAAGCACAAATCCTTTGCCTTTATCAGAGCGTTTTGTAATCATTTCTGGATCCGAACGAATAACATCTATAGCGTCTAAATCTTCTTTTGAGTGGTTAGGTTTGTTCGTGGTACGATGGTTTTTGAAGCAATTCATGACCTTTTGTTTGAGTGCCCTGAGTGCACGTTCTGTGCCTGTGTCTGAGGTTGGTGCCATTCTGGTATCTGTATCACTAAATCTTGGTGCTAAGTTTAGTGGTTTGATGCTAGGTTGGCTGTTTTGGTCACTGTCATTGGCATCGTTGTTGTCGGGGTTGTTTGTGTGTGTGTGCTGCTGTGGCTGTTGCTGTTGCTGTTGAGGCTGCTGTTGGTGCTGTTGCCGTTGTTGGTGGTGTGCTGGTTGTTCATTGTCTTTGTGTGATTGTTCCTGTTGTACGTGTCGTCTTGATAGAAGATCTAGCTTCCAACGAAGTGCGAAAGCTCCTCTTTCTAAGCCCTTTTCTACGTTGTACAACACCTTTTTGCAGATATTGCGAGATAAGGCAAAATTGGGACCATTACTTAGAATATTCGAGAGGTTTTCGGGTAGATTCTGACCAGTCAAGTTAAGGACTTTCTCCGGGCCTACAGTTGAACGTAACGTGTTACCCTCTGTTTGTGTGTTGCTGACTGGTGTGGGTCCGTTCAGAGCCGTGTCCGAGTTCGACAAAGCCTGCCTATGCCTAAGGTTAGAATCGCTAGGTGGGGTCATAGTACACTTTGAGTGCTGGGCGTCGGTACATACGCAATACCTGGCATCGAACCACATTTCATAGCCATCGCTCTCACTAAGTAGGCTTCTATCATAAGTACATAAACACCCGATATCTCGGGTACAAGATACTGCATTGAACCAATCCTCCCCCCTCATAGTAGGTACCTCCCCAGCTAAGGTTGTCTCCGTGGATTCCTCAGCACTCGGTGATACGGTATTAGATGCTACAGGTGCGTCATTTACGTCGCATAGCGTAGGCAGTGATGCAGTTGACTGTACCTGGTTTCCATCTTGAGCGGAGTAGCTCGTGATGCGTCGGTTGTAGTCCTCTAGGTCGTCCAGGTTGTCTGAAGGCTCATCTGTCGAACGGTTCCCAGGGGCGCTCGCTAGCTGGGTCACTTGGTCAGCTGCAACGGTCTCCTCTTGATCATTTCTCGTCTTCGTCTCCCTCTCGATCGTCTGCTTTGTTGCGTTGCTGGGGTTGATGTGATACTGCAGCGCTGCTCGTGGTAAGGTAAGATTGCTTCCTACAGCTTGCAGCAACCCGTCCGTCTCTCGACTGTCGTGGTGTGCAGGTCGCTCTACGTGTTCCCCCAGTCGTGCTTCTTGTGTTTCTGGAAGTCTACGGTCCCTGTGACTGGCTTCTCTACCGTCCGGCTGCAATAGATCTTGGAGTTTCTTCTGCAGGGTTCTGTTGTTTTGGTTTGTCGTCTCCAGATATATAATTGCTGCTCTTTCTTCAATGGTGTCGGTAAGTGGGTGCTTTTCTAGCTGTCTCATACTAGCTAAACGTTTTTGTTCCCTTACCAGAAAGGCTTCAGTTCTAAATGTGACACGAATGGCCTCGTTAAGAACTTTCTTCAAGAAGTTGTTGTGCATGGAATTAACTTGCCTGTTGTTTGGAAAGATGTCCGATAGTGTGCCAATCTTGCGGGTGAGAAACTTCGGAAAGACGTTCTCTCTGCGACAGTTGATAAGGAATTTTGATTTCTCTCTAGTCCTTGCAAGCTTTTCAGCATTTGTTATTGTTTGGATCAACGTTTGTCGTCGGTTATAGGCTATAGCAGCAACTAACAGCAAACAGCAACTAACAGCAAAGCCCAAACGCGTGACAATGGTAAGATGAGCCCGGCACAAAAACTATCTAAAAGCCCTTGTGACATCACGTACGTCACTCTTCCCTTCATAGATGACAACCTCTCTAGAAAAATTGAATCCATCGTGAAAAAGTCAAAGCTGTCCATGCGTATAGCATGGCAAAGCGGCCCCACTCTCTCTCAGAAACTCACTAACTCAGCTCTAGAAAAGCCACCGTGTCCAGCAGGGAACAAAAAATGTCACTGCTGTCTGGCTGGACTCAAAGGTAGATGCCACGTTAAAAACGTAGTCTATCAGATCGTCTGCAACCTCTGCAAGCAAAAAGCCACGTACATAGGTGAAAGTAAAAGGAGTGTTAGGCTCCGTTTTAACGAGCTTCTACGTGACGCCAAAAACCACACAAGAAACACCCCTTTTGGAGAACACTTAATGACTTGTCACTGTAGCGTAGAACCTAGCCACGATGCCCTCTCCATTTCAATTCTTCAAATCTGCAAAGACGTAGCGGAGCTGAAGATCGCCGAGTCCATCGAAATTCGCAATCATCGCCCCACACTTAACACTATGTCATCATCTTGGACGCTCATCAAGCCAGTACCATACTCAGAGCTATAGACGTCATTAGATCACGACAGGCAGGACTTACATTTAGACTAGATCACATCATTTGACACCATCACTCACAAACCGTTTTCACAGTATTTCACCCTTCTATTATTTATTCTTTCTTTTATCCATTCATTCATCTTTCAATCATCACAATCATCGTTTACATATACACTGCACACACAAACACACACACACACACACACACACACACACACCCCCACACACACACAAACACAGCTGCTCACAAACACAAACACCTACTCACACCTACATGCACACACACAGTCACTCACTCATACATACGAACTAGCACAAGCCTAACAGGGACCGCTGTCTAATGTCTGTTAGACTGATGTCGAATGTACTACTTAGCAATGTTATACGATCAATGTTATAGTGTGGTAGTATGTTGAATAGGTATCATACTCATATGTACTGTGAACAAGACGCTGATTTGTGGAAGCTTGCGACGTAATATGTGTAAATGTTGGCAATATGTATAACAAGGTCTAGACCAAGCGTATCCCTATCATATCGAACTGTATTCATTTATGTTTCATGCAACGATTCATTTTCCTGCCAAGTAAATCTAGATCGACACCTATTTTGGAAGCGCATGCTAAATATCTGTGAGTGATTTTATTCAAAATAATGTATTTAGTCTCATGTGTGTCACGTACGTCTCTCTTGTTCCATTGTAACACTGTACCACTGAGGAAGGGCCACGCCCGAATATATATTGGTCTTTAATTTTTTAATTCCTTCAGATATGAGCAAGAGGTTATTTTTCATACTCCTGATAATCTTATCAACAATGCTCAACTCAACGTTTCAATACCTGAAATCATATGAGCCGACATACGTCGAATCGCGATTCCGGCCAAACATGGTCTCGGAAAAGAGGTCACAGGTCAAAGGTCATTTGGGTCAGGGTCATGAAATTTTGAGGGTGGGTGTAAAGTTGATTAATGCGAGGGTATCGAAAGTTTCGTCGCGATCGGCCGCTTTTTACGCGAGTTATTCGCGAAAAACCTTAGGGGGGTTGCATCAACCCCCCCCCCCCCCTGTGCTGGCGAGGGTTAAGTTTGTCCCTCACTGTAAACGTCTTTTTGAACATAGCACGGGAATTGCTAGCTGAATTACTGAGAAAACTGGTTGGCGCACATTGATTTCACCAGATTTCACAGACGATCAATTTTCTCAAATTTGTTTACTATTTCGCAGACTCATAGCTCGCATTTGCCCATACCTACAGCTCCACAGTGATGGACGACTTCTCAGGAGTTATGTCTGAATTAAGTAATAAATTGCGCGGCGTTTAACATTAACGTTACATCGTCGGTGTTCAAAACTTATTTTGAAAATATTATTCATATCTCCAATACAATGTGCGCCAACCAGTTTTCTCAGTAATTCAGCTGGCAATTATCGTACTGTGTTCAAAAAGACGTTTACAGTGAGGGGCAAACTTATAAAAAAAACGAACTATAATATGCTATTGATTTAATGGACATTAGGTTTCTTTTCTTTAGTCAGAATGCGTCGAGAGAAATACCCACCAGCAGGACGTCGGGACGTGCTGACGGCCGATCACAGCGCATCTGCGCCGAGTGGGGCCGATCACAGCGCCATCTGCGCCGAGCGGGGCCGGTCACAGCGGCCCCGCTCGGCGACCGGGGCCGGTGTGACCGCTACAGGTTGTACTGTGTGCTCACTACAGGTTGTACTGTGCTCACTACAGGTTGTAGTATAGTCGACTACAGAATGATGTTCCACTTTTCGCAGGCAATTTTTTGCCTGGAGTGGTAGGCTGTGCCGCATCACACGGTCTGAGTTCACAAATTATAGCTTTGTCCCAACGCTCAAAATCGACACGCTTAATTGCGTGATAAACGGCACAACTTAGCGCTCTGGTCAACTGATAGCTTCTGAGGAGTGGAACATCATTCTGTAGTCGACTATACACGAAACGAACCACATGGCACATACATATTCTGATAATTTAAGAATAACCAGTAACCTCTTAAAATAAATCAGAAATTGGAGCCAAAAAGTTATATTTAAAATGATCGAATGTTTCGCTCCTGGAGTTTCATCAGCGATAATTACAGAAAAACTTATACCTACGTTTTAAACGTGGAACAGCAAAGAAAACTGCACTGCAGAATAAATAGTACCAGTAAAACGCCTTTTGGGCGAAGAACGAGCGAGCGAGATAGTGAGCCCTGCACGTGCGGAAAGGCGAGAGGGTACTTCCAACGGGCTTGTGCAAGGCACCCTTCTAACCGGTCGCTAGCGGTATACCAAATTTGAACGCAATCGGCCCAGCCGTTCCTGAGATCTGGAAGCGGCATTCTGCACGTGCGCACGTGCAAACGGGGTCCAAAATGACTTTTGCACGGCACCCTACTAACCGGTCCCCAACCGTGTACCAAATTTGAGCGCAATCGGCCCAGCCGTTCTCGAGATCTGGAAACGCCCCCTGCACGTGCGCACGTGCAGTAGCACCCTAACCGCAACACATGGGAATGCATTGCCTGGTGGGTGCCTACCTGTATGCCAAGTTTCAGCGAAATCGCCCCAGTAATTACCGAGTTACTGAAATGGGAACAAATTTGGCACCTCTTATTGTTGTATTTTGCACGTGCAGTGGGGGTCACTCACATAGATGAAGAGTATCCGACCTTTGGTAGAAGGGATGCAGCTACCCTATAAAAATGACCGCAAGACAATCGCTCAAGCCGCTGCTGAGATATGGGCCTCTCAAAATCATTACTTTTGCAAAACTGCTTGAACACCCTTGACATTTCACGTGGCACGTGCCACGGCGGTCACTGAGATGTATCAAAAGTAGTCAATTACGGGGAAGAAGGGATGGGGCTACCCAGCAAAAAAGACCGCAGGCCATTCGGTCCAGCGGTTGCTGAGATATAAGCCTCTCAAAAGCGTTACAGGCCGGGCCGGGCCGGGCCGCTCATACTGAGATTTTACCGTTATATTGAAAAGACTTCGCTTCGCTCGCTGCGCTCGCTCGCTCGTAATTATCCCGCGCCGTAGACAGTGTTTACAGTTGCTTCACGTGCAAAGAGAGAAAATTATCAGATGTCGTTTAACTGATTTGTTAAATTTCTAGTGACGATTAACAAACTGTTAAACGTCTAGTAGACATTTCTGCCATTTTACCGTCTCGTTATTTTCACCAGTCTGCGCAAGGAAACGCAATGAAACATCATTTCCCTTTTCTTTTTTAGTTCTATTTTGGACTTCATCTTCAATGTACCTGTCCATTTCAGACCGATCACATTGTTTGGACCGTTTTTCAAAGCTTCATCTGTCTCCGCTTCTCTTTGTCTCTGGCTCTGCTGAAATATGTCGTATTTTTTTATAAGATGTATTTTTTACCTTTAACCCGCGACCGCCTGGGGGGGTTCGGATCCGACCCCCTCCGTTTTTTCTTGAATAACTCATGAACCGCTCACGCTATCAACTTGAAACTTCACATATCTTCTCCCCCATTAATTTGACGTTGTCTGTGTAATTTTTAAGAAAATTTTCCCAAAAAATTTTTGAGATATATCGATTTTAGTGATGTAACTTCATGGCGTTTTCAGTCAAAAAGTGGTAAATGTTTAAAAAATCGCCAAAAATCAAGGTTTAAAGCAAATTGCAAATTATGGAAAAGGATAGACGCAGCTCAACGAGTTCTTTAACCCTCGCCCGTATAGGGGGGGGTCGAACGGACCCCCCCCCCATGGTTTTTCGCAAATAACTCGCGTAAAAAAGCGGCCGATCGCGACGAAACTTTCAGTACCCTCGCGTTCATCAATTTTACACATACCCTGAAAATTTCATGACCCTGACCCAAATGACCTTTGACCTGTGACCTACTTTTCGAGACCATGTTTGGCCGGAATCGCGATTCGGCGTATGTCGGCTAGCATTAGCCGCGCGTTTGCAGTCTTTTCGTGGTTTCAAGCGTTCAAACATGTGATATGATGTTGCCCCCATGCATTAGGGTGGGTGTCAAGGTCACCTGAAGGTCAGGTCAGGTCATTGACCTTTGATGACCTCGGTTCACTTTTTCGAGTTTTACATGATTCTAGACCAGTTTTTGGAGCTGAATTCGAATTTAGCAACCATATGAACATTTACGAAGTAGTTTTGGTGCCTTCGTAACATGTTACGAAGCTGTTAGAGGCGGTTGCCACCTACTACGAATACCCTTACTGGTTGACCTGACCTGACCTGACCCGAACTGGCCTAAATGCATGAAAACATCATCTGTGATCAAAACTAACATGATATTCGTGATCAGCACCCCGAAAACCCCATAGCAGCCACACTTTACGACGTTCTAACAGGTCCCGATTTTCCCGACTTTTGGGTCATTGACCTGACCTGCAAGGTCAACCAATGACCTAGGACCTTAAAATTGGGTATCATCGGCTTCCTCTCGTCACGGGCAACACGCTCGTTTTTTCCGCGAACCTCTAGCTCGATCAGGGGCGAAACGGCAAGGGGGGGTCCAACGGACCCCCCCCCCCCCTTATACGTTCGCGGCTGGAAAAACACCAATACGGGCGAGGGTTAAAATGGCTATCTCGGATTTTCCATAAAATGCGTTTTTCACCCCTAAAAATTCAAACAACTATAAATTTTGGAAAACAGCTAATAAAATCCAAAATTTTGAAAATTTCCAAAAACCGAAATATATGTTGTAGAGCTCTATTCGAACATTAGAGGCCCCAAATTTCAACTTTCTATCTTGATTTTTGACCCCCAACTTGTAACAAATAGCTCCAACATACATAGGGCATGGTGATGTCATAAGCATTTTCGTGAATTAGAGGCACTTCTGAACATCGCATGTAAAAACAAATGGCACCACTAGATTTCTGGGACAAAGCTCGTCTAGAAAAGTGCATTTTTATGTCAAAAATAAAAAGTTGAAAAATTGACCTTTTTTCTTAGCCCTCGTTTAGTTATGTATGGTATAAACGAATTTTTATGCTTTCAATGCACACTTATCACCAGCACAGTGACTTGGGATCACATATAACCATTACCATCGGATTCGGAGTGAAACATAAGCCATAAAACATGTGTCGCACGCCCATGTAGTAAAAAGTGAAAACCGTGACCTTTCGTGACCTGACCTGACCTTGACCCGTACTTAGTATGACCCCTATACGCACATGGTACCTTTACTAGGCCTTTGAGGTCATTTTTGGTGAGTTGGTGAGTTTCGAGCAGCAGCTATCGATTCCGCTGTCCGTAAGCCTAATCATGCAAAACCCCAGAATTTGACCTTTGACCTGACCTTGACCCGAAAGTTGACCTCAATCTAAAAATCTTAAGAGTGCTTTGGGAAGGTCTTATAGAGACCTTTCGAATGCCGCCTCGCGGGGCTCGATACGACCATTGGTTCTCGAGATAACATGGTCGGATCCACACCCCCCCCCCCCTCCCCCAGGCTGTCGTGGGTACGGAAATAGCCCAGGCGGTGCCGGATTAAGCGCCCGAAAGATATCGGCGGTACGGGATAAAATTATTAAACCGCTCGTAGGTAGAAAAATCTTTTAAGCGACATAGGCGCGGGAGCCGGGGGGGGGGGGGCAGTGGTGGGCAGCTTACCCCCCCCCCCCCAACTCTGGGTTGTTTTCTTTTTTGTTGAAAAAGCCAAGGGATGAAAAATA